AGGAATAATTCTCTTAATGCCCTATTATTGTATTAAATGTGGGTTATGTCCCCATGTGGTGTAGTGGGTAGGGTGATGGACTAGGACTCTGGAGAACAAAGTTCAAATCCCCACTTGGCCATGGAAGCTCACTGGGGGAGCTGAGCAGGTAAAACCACTCCTTAAATATCTTGCTTACCTTGAAAGCCCTATTAGAGTCGCTATAAGTTGGTTCTGACTTGTTGGCACAGAACACACAATGTCTCAAAGCAGCCATTAAATTGCTGCTCTAATACAAAGAGAACGATTGTTACAATCCTATGCAATCTTGCTCAAGAATAAACCTCACTGATCTCAATGAGACTTCCTTCCGAGTAAACATGCATTGCATTGCTTTGGTCTAGAGAGGACTGAGTATGCAAGTAAGCCAGTTTTGCTTTCTCCTGCATACGGATTTGCTTGATTTCAGGTTCTTTCTATGATGAAGAAATCTGTATTCAGCTTAGCTAGCTCACTTTCTGGAATGCAGATTGGTAAATGCACTTTACATTGCAGGCCTGGTTGATGCCACGAATGTGCAGCTCTCCCAAGCTTCTGTTTTTAAGGGCAGGGAGATAGATATAGATACGTTTGGCTCACATGTAACTTAAATCCCATTGATTTCCCACTGATTTCAGTGGATTTACTCTAAGTAACAACATGTTGGGACCCAATCCTGAGTTTGCTCACACTTTATGATATACATCCACTGAAATGAAAATTAAAGGAGAGAGAAAGAAAAGAAAGAAGTCAGGCTCTTGATCCTTGAAGGCACCTCCTCTTTGCCACCCACTTCCTCCCCAAACCACAACCACATGTCTCCCCTGTGTGTGCTTGTGTGAGTGAGTTGTTTCCTTTCTGAGCGTTTCTGCTTTCCCAGCGAGGCGTCTGCAGAATCTCCCAGCTCTCCATTCTTTCGGTGGTAGATTCTTTGATGCCTCTCCTGCCGATTTCTTGCCAGTTGGCAGACCGAAGACCGGCAGAAAGTGGATGCAGATTTCAGAAGAGCAGTGCCTCGAGGGATAGTATGGCATTTTAACAAGGTAGAAGCCCCAGGACAGTTGAAAGAAGTGTTGACATTATGCAATGGAAGTCTCTGAGGAATATACTGCTCTTCCAGGCAGCTGCCTTTGAGGGGGGGGGTCAAGGTGGTGAGGTAGCCATGCCACATTTGAGAACCTTCTCATTGGGCTCAGTGAGACGTAGAAGCCCCAGGACAGTTGAAAGAAGTGGTGACATTATGTAATGGAAGTGTCAGAGGAATATAGTGCTCTTCCAGGCAGCTGCCTTTGAGGAATGGTCAAGGTGGTGAGGTAGCTATGCCACATTTGCGAACCTTCTCATTGGGCTCAGTGAGATTCCAGCCTTCTTCTCTGATGCCCTGTCTTGAGGACATCTTTGCCTGAAACTAGAAATAGATGTTACAGAAGGGATTTCTAGCCTTTCTGGACTACCTGTACCATAATTCTCTATTCTGGGGGTTCCACCTACCTTACAGGTGTCTTAGAAACACTGCAATGTGACGCATCTGGGAGAATGGAGAATTATGGTACTTGCAGTCCAGAAAAGTGAAAACTCCCACCCCTAATAGAAGTTTGTGGGCCTTCTTACTTGCCTGGGTGTTCATTCATAGCTCTCTTCAATATTACAGCATTAAATTGCATCTTATGAAAAAAATACATTTAAAATGCATTTAATGCATATTGCTAAGTCTTTTTGCTGGTAATTTTTTGCTAGTCCCAAATAAGTTTTTTATAATCAATTGCTGATTGATTCAACATTTATATAAATATCATTAAGTCAATAGGTTTACTCTAGTAGGATACAGACCACTGGCTGAAATCCTGTTGCTGAGCTCTGCCTGTGCAACAAGAACTATGTCATTGTCAGTAGCAGATGGTTGCTAACAAAAAGTTTCCTTCTGCAATTTCAGGTTGCTTATGACTTATATACAATGCAAGAATGTAATGGGCATCCCAAGAACTGCAAAAAGGAAGCCTTTAATCAAAGGCAATCTACTGCTCCTGATGATACCACCCCCACTGCAAAGGTGGAACCACTCAACAGGATTGGCCATAGGATTTAACCTGAACTTTGTGATACATTCTGCTCAGATAGTGACCAACCTGAAGGATATGGGGAGCCCACAAGGAAAGTGTGATTGTAAGAGCCACCTCTGGCTTGCACTCCTTGGCAACTGATCTACAAAGATCTATTACCCATGGAACTGGAGGAATAATACTGGCTAGTATGGCAAGTAGCTATTGATAGCCTTGTCCTCCATTAATGAAGATTAAGGGTTCTCATGCTCTGAGTAGACCTATATCTACTTCAGTTGGTCTATATATTTGTTCTCCAAATATGGGTTTTTCAAGCATATCACCCTTTGACATATGCATAAGGTAACCATACACCCAACATTGCATAAGACCGTTCTTTATCTGAAGGTCTCTAGAGTCCATGGATTCCTGCTCCACATCGAGTATTGTAACCCTTCACATTTTACTTGCAAGGCCTTGTGAACATTCCAGATGATGAAATATAGCATTTACTAAACTGCTGATGAGAAAATGACTCATGAGTCTACTCCAACCAAAAATCTCTTGCCTTTGTGTGCCTCTATGAACCCACCAGGATCCTGCTGATAACAAACAAAAATAATATATACTGTATCCAGAGAGTGTTCACTGATGGTTCCTTGTCATCCTTGATGACATCCTCTTTTGGGGTGTCAGACCTCATTTTGAATCCTGTGTCTAGTTCTGGGCACCACAGTTAAAGAAGGCTTTCAAAAATTGGAAGATGTCCAGAGGAGGGCAACCAAGATTGGAAAAGACCTGGAAAACAAGCCCTGTGAGGAATGGTTGAGAGAACTGGGTACCTTTAGTGCCTTGGGTTTATTTTAATTTTTGGAAAAAGTTAAGATAGAAATTATGTTTTTTATTGAATGAATGGAATGAAATAAAACGAAATGTTTCTCCCGGAGAACAGGCAATATGATAGGTGTTTTCAAATATGTGAAGGGCTTTCACATGGAAGACAGAACAGGTTTGCTTTGTCTGGCTCCAGAGCGTAAGATCTAAAATGATGAATTCAAATTACAAACAAAGTACTTTCAACCTGGTGGTAACACCAACTGTCAATAATAGAACAGACTATCCTTCTGTATGTGTGCGCAAACATCTGTACATCTGTGCACACAAACATACAAATTAGGGTTTGTGACACAAACACAAGTGCACACATATGCACAGATATTCTCTCTCTGACACACAAACAAGCAGATACACAGAAGAGAGCAGCACTCCATTTAGACACACAAACAAGCAGATACACAGAAGAGTGTAGCACTCCGTTTACAGAGAAGACACCCTGGAAAAGACCCTGATGTTGGGAAAGTGTGAGGGCAAGAGGAGAAGGGGACAACAGAGGACAAGGTGGTTGGACAGTGTCATCAAAGCAACCAACATGAAGCTGACCCAACTCCGGGAGGCAGTGGAAGACAGGAGGGTCTGGCGTGCTCTGGTTCATGGGGTCACGAAGAGTCGGGCACGACTCAATGACTAAACAACAAATAAAAATAATTGCATTCCAGTTTTGAGTCATGGTGACCTTTCTCAGGGCTTTCTAGGTATAAATGTACACAGAAGTGGTTCAACATTCCCTTCTTCTGGGAGTGCTCCATCTAGTTTATGAGTACCCAAGGCTACATAGGGAACACTTTCCATTCCCTGGTGCTCCAGGTCACTGAGCCAGCCAGTCAGGTGCATGATGTTAGGCTAACCATTTTAATGTACTTTATCCTACCTCTCAGGGTTGTTGTGACAATAAGGGGGAGAATCTGAGGTTTCTTGGAAGAAAACCTGAGGGTGGGAAATATAATTAAGGTTGAACTGGCTTTTGCATGTGAAACCTTGAGGTGAAAGTACATAATCTTGGGCAGGTTCTACCATCCCGAGCTCCGTCCTCCAAACCCCCATCCTCCAGTCAAATCTGGATCACACTGCCTCTGACCACTCTGGGAAAAGGGAAGCATGTAACAACACAAATAAACATATCACTAGCTTTTCTGGTTTCCTATGTAGATGACTCGGGCTCCAACTGCAAAATTATCCAATATACGGACTCGTCCTAAGAGACCTCCAACCCTGTTAGAAAAACAAAGGGCCAGAAAAATAAAATATCAAGTTTTCATTCAAGTCAGACAATAATCCCTCGTCTGGTCACAAGAGCTATTTGAGAGAGAAAACCAAACAAAATAAACAAGGCATGAAAAAAACAAAACAAAACAGGTAGCTGGCGATTCACAATGGTGGGCTTTTGGTTTAAAAAGCTGCCACCATCCTCTTAAGGGACCAGGGTGTTTTCCTTCATAACTACCCTTCTCCTCCCTTAGTCCTGATACTGTTCAGACAAGCTGCAATTCACAGACTAATCAGCTGTAATATCCAGTGGGATCCCCTTTATTGGTGGGTGGATTACAGTCTGTAGGGCACCAGGAAGTGGTCTGAAAAGATCTTCCAAAGTGGTAGAGCTGAGTGCCTGACAGAATTTATGTGTGGGAACCACGTAAGATGATATTTCAGCAAATAATTCAAAGTTGCCCTTTGTTAACCTTAAAATAAATTCTTTCCAAAAATGTATTTCTTGTGACATCCTTTCAAAGAGGCTGAGAGTTCCCCCCCCCCGATTGTAGATTCTCATCTCTTTTCCTCTTAACCCTGTAATAGTTTTAGGGTAACATCCTATATAATATTGCCCCCATGGACTGGGCCTAGGTAACCCAGCCTCCTCATCATTGCAGGAGGTGGCTGGTGGTGGCTATAAAAATTTCACCACCAAGAGAAACAGGGTGGCACATGGGGGACTGACAGAAGTGGAGGGCACTGAGTGGGCGATGGGTAGGAGCATGCCACGTGAATAGCTGAAGAATTCCTATAAGGGCAGAATAAAAGCTTTAAGAAAAAGGTCATACACATGCCTCCTGCCCAGCAAGTCACCAAGAGAAGTTTATTTTCATCTGTGCTTTTTGAAAAATTAATAGCAACTCATGATTCTGAGATTCAGAGATCGTCTGGCATATCTTTTGATCTCTTTCACAGCAGGAAGTGTGATGAGTAGATCTGAGAGTCGTTCAGGCTGGGTTACGTTCCCATCAGACACCTGCCAACAGAGGTACAAACAAAACGTTCAGCTGGCACAGAAACAAGAAGGAGGTCTCAGCATTCAGAGGTACCCTGGGTTTTCTCAGAAGTATACAGTAAACATTTCAACATTAAATACCTTGGTGAAAAGTCTGGATGTGACCCATTATGAGCTGCTGGGTAGTGGGGTGGGTGGGGACAGAAAGAATGTGTGGCTTAATAATAGGCTTTCCTTTGCACAATTATATAAAATGTATATTATTGAAAAGTGACATGATGGTTGCCTTGTAAAAATGGATGGACTCAATGGGCTTTTTATATTTTTCTGATAAGTCTGTCTTACTGTGTTTGTCTGGATGTGACCCATTATGAGCTGCTGGGTAGTGGGGTGGGTGGGGACAGAAAGAATGTGTGGCTTAATAATAGGCTTTCCTTTGCACAATTATATAAAATGTATATTATTGAAAAGTGACATGATGGTTGCCTTGTAAAAATGGATGGACTCAATGGGCTTTTTGTATTTTTCTGATCAGTCTGTCTTACTGTGTTTCCTATTTATTTTAAATATTTTTGCCTCACCTTTCTCCTTAAAAAGGACCCACAGGCACTTACACACAATATGTGTGAAAACAAAATATTAAAAGTATGTAAATAAAGTCTGAATATAAATCGTTTAAATAAATAAATATTAAAACCTAAAACCAATACATTATTCAAATATAGAGATAGGCATGAATTAAAATAAATGTCTAATTTGTCAGTTTGTATTCATACGAATCAATGCCCCCAATTAATACAAATCAATGAATTTTTAGTGAATTTTTTTTTTTATCCATTGATTCGTTTGGCTGTAAAATGGCCTCCAGGCACCTAGAGATACAAAATACAGAGATGCTTTCCAAGAGTCTCCTTTACAATCCCTTCAAGTTTGGTGAAGATTGGTACCCATTTTGTGGGTGTATCACTTGGATGTCTGGAACCCAATCTTCACGAAACATGGAGGAAGTGTAGAGGAGAGTTGGTAGAAGCTTCTAGGTGAATTTGGTGTTTCTATGAGCTTGGGGGATCATTTTCTAGTGTTTAAAATTCAAAAACAAATTGACACATTGAGTGAACTATTCGTCAGGAAAAAAATCATCAATTCATAATTCATGATTAATCGACCTTGATGTATCATGCATCTCAATCACAATTTTTCTGATTTATGTCTATCTCTATTTAAATATTTAAAGAGAACTACTAACACTGTATTAAAATGTTAGGTAAAAGCATTACTAAAAACATAATTACATACAACAAAACACAAACCAACCACTTTTTAAAAACTTCTCCTAGAAAGTCAGTCACTAAGGAAAAGCTTGCCTGAGGAGAATAGTCTTCATCTATGTAGGAGCTTAGCTCCACAAAATGAAAAAGATCTGGAGGGGTTTTATGTGAAATGTGTTGTGCACACATTGCAGAAACTAGGATGGAAAAAAAAAACCTAGTTAGACCTCTTGAGTTAAAGTCTCAGACCTCTCAAGGGCGCAAAGGGTCTTTCAAAGACAAAATTGTCTATACCATGCTGATACAGACATTTCTATCCATTATTGAACAAAGAAGACCTTAAAAGAGTTGTTTTGTCCTTCCATATAAAGGAGACATGCATCTTCCAAAGATTTTCTGGTCATGGGAAGCTGTCTTACAGTAATTAGTAAAGCCAAGTAGATACAAACCTGGCTGGGGCCTTCAACGTTTATCTCTCTCTGTCAGAGCAATAGCCTGGTTCCGAGTTTGCTCCTGCGCATGGCTTGCCTCCATTTCCAGGTGCAGGATTATTACACAGTCTTGTTCGAGTGCGTTTTCCCTGTTGACATGCAGACCAGCTAGACCAGCAGCTCCAACTCCCATCAGTAGCTGTATTGATAACCGGAGCTGTATTGAAAACAATACACAAATGTCTTGTTAAGTTTCCGACAACAAAGCATCAAGAATACAGATTTGTGTGATGTGCATTCTGCAACAAGTCTTAGTATCTATGTACCCAAATGATCACTTAGGATGCACCTTGAAATGTTCATGTCCCTTTATGTACAACTGCATGTTCAACAAGTTTAACTACATGTTTTTACAATGTGGGTCTTCAAAGCACAACTGCAAAGCACGAGTGAGGAGGGTTCGTAATCTTTCCCTTTCAACTGATTGTCCTCTTTGGTGGAGACGTAGGTTCTTGATTCCAGTACTCTATCAAACATATAGTTCTGCCTTTAAGATCTGTATTTTTTTTTCAAAGCTGTATTCAGAGTTGTATTCAGAAGGTGCATAAGCGTCACAACATCTTGGTACCAGGCAATAAATTGCTCCATAACTTTGACATAGCAAAGTCTCCTCTGCAAGGGTGGGGGGATCTATTAAGATGATCCGCCTTGGGAGACGAATGGATCAGGATGGTTTCCTGAATGCTCTGCAGGATTATCCGTCTGATATGGTCAGCGCTCCTGTTGAAGCTCAGGTCACCCTATGGAATAGGGAGATGACCCGGGCGGTTGACACGATTGTGCCTAAGTGGCCTCTCCCTGCACGCAGAGTCCAGATAGCTCCTTGGTATACTTCTGAACTGCGGACAATGAAGAGAGAGGGGAGACGGCCGGAAATCCCACTGGGAGTCTGATCGAACACGACTTAGAACCCATTATTGGGCCTATTTCGTGACACTACGGTTGGCAAAACTGCATATCCATATTGCTTCCTCAGAATGTCATCCAGCAAAGCTGTTTTGGGTGGTCCGGGATCTTCTTCAACCAGGAAATCTGGTGGAGGTCCCGGACTGCTCATCAGCTCACTGTGATGAGTTTGCTATTCACTTCGAGGGAAAAATCGCTCAGATTTGCAGTGGGTTGGACTCCACAGTTACTGCAGAATTAGAGGATGTGTCCAGTGTGCCGTGCTTAGGTCAAGTATTAATGGATGAGTTTCAATTGTTGAGACCAGAGGATGTGGACAGGGTGCTGGGATCTGTCCGTTCTACTACCACTCCACTCGACCCTTGCCCATCTTGGCTAATTGGAAGATCCACCAGAGGAGTTCGCACCTGGGTCCAGGAAGCCATGAATGCCTCTTTGAGAGAAGGAGTGGTCCCTACCACCTTGAAAGAGGTGGTGATTCAGCCACTCCTTAAAAAGCCTAACCTGGACCCAAGGCTGGTGGGTAACTACCGACCAGTGGCGAACCTCCCTTATTTGGGCAAGGTGTTGGAGTGGGTTGGGCCGGGCAACTCCAGGCACTGCTGGATGAAACGGATTTTCTAGATCAATTTCAATCAGGTGTCAGGCCAGGCTTTGGTATGGAGACTGCCTTGGTCATCCTGTACAATGACCTTTGCAGGGAGAGAGGGAGTGTGACCCTGTGGCTTTCGACACCATCGACCATGGCATCCTTTAGGATAGTTTGGCTGGGTTGGAAGTCGGGGGGCACCACTTTACGGTGGTTCTGCTCCTTCCTGGCTGACCGT